CTACCAGAGCGATGCTGGCAAGGAGGACTCTAGCGTCTTCAAGGTGGCCAAGCGGGACAGCACCACAGGCACTCTCATCATGGACCTCAAACCGGGCACCAAGTACCGCCTCTGGCTGGAGATGTATCTGACGAATGGCAATACCAAGAAGAGCAACGTAGTTAACTTTATCACGAAGCCAGGAGGACCAGCCACACCAGGCAAGACGGGTAAGAGTCGACAGCGGAATATCTATAAGAAGAATTATGATTAGACATTTAAATTCATTTTCAAGTCTTGCAATTTTTTGAAAGGATTTATTTGGGTTTCAAGATATTTGGTAAAAGAAAAGAAAAGCCTTCGTCCTGTTTAAGTTTTAAATCTCAACCGTTTATCTCATCTTGATACTAATGGCTTTCCTTTGTTATTATAGGAAAACTCCTTACAGCAGGCACAGATCAGCCTGTGGGCGACTATTATGGTCCCCTGGTTGTGGTCTCTGTGATCGCCGCATTGGCCATTATGTCCACGCTGGCCCTTCTCCTCATCATCACCCGAAGGCGAGTCCATCAAACGGCATCGATTACACCACCACGCAAAAGCGATGCTGCCTATGATAATCCCTCATACAAAGTGGAGATCCAACAGGAGACTATGAGTGAGTACATGAGCGAAAGAAAACCAATTCAATCTATACGAATTTGCAATAAAAAGTACTTAAAACCCCTCCTTCCAGATCTGTAACTCACGAATCTGCCAAAAACATTTAGTTCTAAAACAGATTCTTGTAAATATTTAAAGAAAAAAAAAAAGCAAAACGAAGGATGAAATAACTAAGGAAAAAGTAATGGAAAAACTCAAACTCAGTGTCAGTAAAAAAGTAAACGATGGAAAGAAAAAGAGAAAATAATTTTCTTAATCCGGCGCAAGATCAGTAAAAAAATTGTCCCAAATGTGGAATTCGGCCGCCATGTTGTATGTAGTGTTTAAGTAATCTACACAATTTTTTGTTAAACAATTTGTGACTTGTGTATATAGAGAGAGAGTGAGACAAGCAAGAAGGATAGACACCCAATGGAAGAACTAATTGATTAAAAACTCCACACACAAAAAAAATATAGAAACCCGGGCGCATTAATTCTTCTAGCGATTTCGAAATGCATACGAGTTTAGTTAGTTTAACTTGTAAATTTTAGCTTTACACATATCTTAATTTAAAGGCGCCTCATTCTCATACATCTGTGGAGTGGAGTGGATTCAACACAATTAAATCAGCAACTAAAAGAACCGAATCCACGACAGCAAAGCGATGATGCGTTTTTCAATTAACAGTCCATAAATATTTAAAAGTAGCTTGTAAAAAACACTTAAAGAGATATGCATATACTCGTATGTATGTATGAATAAATAAAGAAAAAAATAATAAAAACTTATTAAAAAAAAGCAAGTGTTTTTGTTTCAAGAACCACAAATTAATGAAATAAAATTCCAAGTGAGTACAACTTCCTTATATCGCAATTAAAATTACATTGTCCTGCATTTATTACAAAAATATATCGTATATTTTATTAATAGAATTTAGCTGTGTGTTCTTCCTGACCGTTTATGACATTTCTAGACATTTATACAACTTTAACTTTAAGCTTTTTGCATGACTTTCGCCCATTTCTTAGTATTTTTTTTTACTTTACATTTAATTTCCATACATTTTGGTTTTTCCATAATTTCATTTATTTTCTTTTTGCTTGCAGCACCAACAATATCAATATCGTATCGTATATCTATATATGTTTGTAGATATATCTATATATATATGTTTTTGTATATATACAAAATGCACAACTAGATTTCGCGTTTGTTTTTTGTTTTTTAGAATTCAAAATTCAAATATTTGTTACACTAAATGCTAAAGTTCTTTGTATTCTTGTTTACGTGTTAAATATAGACAAAAGTTATTGTAGAGCAAAGGAAAAAGGATATTTGAAACACTCTTGCTCATTTTGGCATAAACAAATCTTTGAGTTTGCTTTTTGTTTTCTTTTGATATATAAATTATTGTACAATTAAAATGTAAGTGTAGACATTTTTTTAATTTCTTGTTTTTTTTTGTTTTGTGTTGTATTTTTACAGTATTTCTTTGCTTTGTTTCTTTCTATTTTGTATTTAGCTTTTATGTTTTTTAAATGTTAAAAGTAATCACTGTTTAGCCTCCTTTCTTTGACATTAAGTTGGTTGTGTGTGTGTGTGGTGTGTGGTTGCATTTCGTTTCGTGGGGGATGCAGGATGAAGAATGCAGGACATGTGTCTACTTGGTGCTGGTGGTGCTGATGCTATTGCTGGCAGCCGTCTCGCTGTTGCTGCACTGTTCGATGACGCTGTTACCCTCCGCCTCGCTGCTGGTTGTGGTCGATGAGGCAGTGTCCTCATTATCATCATCCACACCGCCTTCTTCATCATCATCATCATCATCCTCGTCATCCTCATCATCATCCTCGTCGTCCTCGTCGTCATCGTTGTCGTCGTCCGGCACATAGACCGCCTCATTCTCAATCAAACGCATGTCCATGTCCATGCTGTCGAATGAATCGGTTATGACACTATCATCATCAGTCGTTGTCTCATCCTCCTGCCCGGACGTATCGTTGTCCAGATCCATGTCATCATCGCCGCTCTGTCCCTGCTGCAGCGATGGTGACTCCCCGCCGGCGGTCAGACGCATCTCCTGCATCAGCTCCTGGATCAATTCAGTCTCTATTTCGGTGACGCCCAGATTCAAGTGCTTCTTGGTCACATCCATCAGCACATTCTTCACATTGCGGGCCAGCAGGCGCAAATGCTCATCGCTGCACACATTCGGATTGGTCACATAGCGTATGTAGTCCTCCAGGTAGTGAGTGTTGAAGCTCTCTCGGCACGGCTCACCGCTGGCAAACTGCTGGTGCGTCAGCAAAAGCTGATTAATTAGCCAGTTCCTGCCGCCCTTCAGCACCTCGATGGCATCTCGCACGCACTGGCGCCCGAGCTCAAAGTTACGGAACAGCGGATAGGTTATGGCACGGCGTAGGAAGGCCACTAGGACATCCCTGTAGTTGTCAAACTGCTCGTAGTAGCAGAACAGAGGGCACAGAATGCTGCGCGTCCAGGCCGACTCGCAGGTGGGATCGTTATTGGTAGTCCGCACATCGTAGCAAATGGCCAGCATAATGCTAATCAGGCCACAGTCGATCTCCTTTTGCCTTAGCCTCTCCAAGGGGCTATCTTGATCAGCGGGATCCTCGTCCTTCTGCTGTTTCTGCAAAGCCTCTCGACTGAGATTGTGCAGCAGACGGGCCTGCTCTTGGGTCATGGAAGTTTCGAAGATTTTGGGCTTGAAGCGCAGGGGATTCTGATGCCCGGACGGAACCTGCAGCTCCACAAAGTTCATTTTGTATTGATCGCGCGAGAAGCGTTTCATTTCGTCGACAACACGATCCTGCCGACGCTGAATGGGGCTAAGGCGATGGGGCTCCAATACACGGCAAGTGGATTTATCCACCTTAAGGGAAAGGAGAGATTAAGTTCAGATTTTAGATAAATTTCTACTCTACTTACATCGCTAATCTCCGGCGGTCCACTGTATTTGCTGGCATACCCATAGCCAAAATTATTTGTTAACTTGTAGATACGCTCTCTTCCCTCGAGCTGCAATTGGCACTGATCGGTGATGCGTTTGAGTTTCCATTCCTGAACAAGGGGCTCTTTGTCTGGCAGATACATGGCATCGGCCATTGTGGGCAGCCGCAAGAAGGTGGCAATGTACTCCTTGCGCACGTTCTTTGGTTTCGGGGCGTCGCCAATGCTAGAGGAGGCTCCGCCTCTTCCCCCTCCTCCTCCTGATGAACCATCTCGAGTGGTGGCCGCTGTGGCAGGCGGCAGGCAGCGTAGGCATAGCTGGTAATGATTATCCTCTGGATTGAATTTTATCAGCAATGTTTTCAGCTCTCGCAAATCAAATGTGCGTCGGCTGTGGAATCTGTTGAAATACAAAGGAAATGCCATACATACATATACACGATATGGATAATGGTTGGATAATGACTCACTTGTACAGCTTGACATCGGCAAAAAAGTACAAATCATGCGAGTCAATGAATATATCGCAATTCCTTATGCGATCCACATGTAATTCCTCCGATCCACACCCCTCACCCCCCTGTGGCAAAACAACCAAGACCCCGCGCCCAGGCTCCGTTTCTGCTGCTTCAGCCTCTGCTGGTGCTGCTGCTTCTGCTGGTGTGGGCGAGTGGAATGGCTTTTCCCTGGCATGGGGGTGTGGTATCACAAGGGTGCACGTGTTCTCCTGATAGCTGTGTGTGATCTGTCCATATAACATCTTTTTATTTTAAAGCGTTTAACTACGTTTTAACTACTGTTTTTAGTGTAATTTTATTTATTTTAATGACCAGTCTGCCCGTATACGAGAACATAAAAAATGGCACAAATCGCAAAAATGCTTGATTTCAATTTGAACTCAGCCCGAAAAGTACCCAAGAAAATACTACAAATCGTGGTATTTTTAAGATACAGCTTTCGAAAAAAGTCATATCCAGTATTATTATACACATTTTTTCTCAAGCGGTACCGCTTTTACCGTTTATTAAATATCTTTTATTGAATGTATTTAATAGAAAAAAGAGGATAGAGTCAAGAATCTTCCATACTCATACAGACATAAGCATGCCAGAAATATGGTGTTTTGAGCAGGGCTTGTGATGGTTAGTTTCAAAACAAAACGCCTATTCGATCCGCCTATCGCACACAACTACCGATATTTTGTTGGAACTCCATTGTGGACCAATCAGTAGGATATAAATAATGAAATAAGTCATGAAATGAGTGCCAGTTCGATTAAAATTCAGAAATGAGACACTGGATTGATATAGTCAGCAATATTTGCTGCCACTCAAAAAATGAATATAAATTCGTTATTTTCCTCGGTATACTTCAAAAATGTAAAGGTATTTTTCTGAGGGTCACTTGTAGATAATTCCGCGGTCACACTGATCCCTGTGGCACAAGAAAAATATAGATTAAAAATTAAAAAAAAGCCTCGCGTTGCAGCGTTAGGCACCGGTTAGAGAGTGCAATCAAAAGAGCGGCGTTATATTGTGCCCAGCTGCTGCTAATCAAATCAACTCCTGTGCTGTTGTCCCCCCAAATTGTGTCGGTCGTGGCGTTCGCATAGCAAAAATTTCTATAACAGTTCTCAATCAATCAATACCTCTCTCTCGCTCGCTCGCTTTTTCTGTCTCTCTGCCCTGTCTTTCGCTGTACGTGCGTGCTGCTGTGTGTGTGTCAGTGTTTTCCTCTGTGTGCGTGTGTGGTGCTGGTGTCGTCCACTCCTTGGGTGCATAATTAAATTAATCAAATAAATAAAAAATCAACGTGTTGAAACCGAAAAGAGCAGCCGTAGTGCAACAACAGCTTCAACATGACCATGGCAGGGCAAACAATCAACGACAGGCTGCTAGCAGCCCGTCACAGCCTTGCGGGCCAAGGACTGGCCAAGTCCGTCTGCAAGGCCACTACTGAGGAATGCATTGGACCGAAGAAGAAGCATTTGGATTGTAAGTGCATGCACACGATATGTTGGGGAAGGGGAAGTTGGTGCCAGTGAGAAGAAGAGGCTGAAGGTAGATAAGCAAGCACAGTTACATTTCCTAGTTACAACAGTTACACACACGCAGCGTGTGCAGAGGATAGAGAAGAAAAATATGTCTTTGCCATTCATTCACACACACATACTTACTTTCAGTCTGCCTCTCCCACTCTTTCTTACACGCCACTCCTCTCCCACAATTTTTGGGGATTCGTGTGGTGTGATAAATAACAGTGAGTGCCAAAAGTGTATGTGAGACATGGCGAAAAATATATACCCAATTTCCAAAAACCCTTTTATGCTCCATCTCGCTGCCTCTACTACCCCTCCACCACTGCACCTGCATCACACAGCTGTGTTTGTGGGCTCTATTCAGCATTAGGCTGCTCCTCTTTTTGCCTCTCTTTCCCTCTCTGTCACTCTCACTGTTTAGGCGCCTCTCTTTCTAATGTTACGTTTCAGCTGCTCTTTCCCTCTCTAGGCTAGGCTCTCTTTCTAGTGTTACGTCACTTTCTCACGGGTGAGTGTGAGCCTGTGGAACGCCTACAAAAGCCGCAATTGTTAGTGGTTTCGCGGTGTCATTGTCTTGTAGATTGTGCACAACATTTCCCTCATTTCGTGCACTTTTGTTTGTTGCTAATTAGGAAATAATTCTTCTTACATTTTGTATAATCTGTAATCAACAAATTTAGGTTTTTTTTTTGCTTATTTTTTATAGGACATTAAGGTCACCGTCCACATAAAGTGCAAATTACATCTTCGACGATAGTCACTTATCATAAGACATAGAATCCACAAGATCTTATATTTCTAATAAGTTCTTCCCTCATATTTCGACTCTATTTCTGTTTAGCAATCAGCCGATAATCACTTGATGACATTCTTGTTGGATTCTGGTTTTTTTAGAGCTCATTTCTGGCTCTCTTTATGGCTCTATGCTCGTCTTGACCTGTTTTCTGAGTACGCTTGCAAAAAGCGATGACTCATGCGAAGAAAAAAAGAGGCCAATATCATTATTTGCCACATAATAAGCACCACCCGCAGCCAAAAACACTTCTCTCTTCTGCATTGTCTGATTGGAGTATGTGTCAACGATAGAAAATAAATGATTTCCATTTAAAATAAAATCCAAATAAAATCCCCACACAGCGGGTGCTCCCCCTCGTATACAGCGCCATGCGCTTTGCAAGAATATTTTGATGAAGAAAAGCTATTGCAAATTGATGCTCAAGCTCTTTAAAGATTCCTGCAGGCTCGATTTCTGTAATCAATAGTTTTTTGCTCCCAGTTTAAACCTGATTTGTAGTACTCTTTTGTATGTAAAGACCTACAACAGGTACAATTTCTGCATACAACTTTATTTGTTTTACCTTTTCTCTCTGTCTCCATCTTTCGTTCTGTCTGTATAAATAAAACAAGTTAAGATTTCACAGAACTAGCAAGAACGGAAAGAAGTAAAGACGAAACTCTACCTTAAAGTAGAAGAAACGCTTCAAATGTAGAAGAAACCGCTGTTAAAAAAGAGCTTTAAACAAGGTGAATAATCTTGTTAAATTAGCTCCCAATGGGGAGTCTCCCATTCGGATCGCTTTATAAGAAAACCGAGCTGTGACCTATTTAAATTTTACTTTTACTCAATTGTCTACAAAGAAAAGTTATCAATTGTGTATAGAAAATGCAGATCCTTAGATTTTTGGATTCCATTACTTGTTGACTTGTATCTCCCACTTTATTCTCAATAAAATGGACAGTCAATAGGAATCATCATTGCCATGCATTAAACTCAGTAAAGACCAAAGTAAATTGATAAATTTTCCACATTTTCTATTGCATTACCATTTGTTTTGCATTTATTATTCGTGTGCCCTTCCTCACTACTTCCCTCTCTTTGACGCTTGCCATGAATCATATGGGTCGTCTCCTAAGTTGATTTTCCAAAGCAAAGCAAAAGCAATCATCTGGATGTAACGCCCCTTCGAACAGCATTTGTTTATTGTTTCTGTCAGAGTTGTTGCTAATTGAAATGGGAAACCCAGAGAGAGAGAGAGAGAATTGATAGAATTTCTTATCAAAGCTTTTCCGTTTCGTCTTGGCTTTGTGGCTGTGTGTAGGGTTTGAGTCTCTGTTTCAGTGTGAAAGCGAAAGATAAGCTCAATAAAATACAAAATACGAGTCGCGACCGATAAGAGGGTGGCGTCGGTCGGCCCAACAAACAGCGTTGATTAAAATTATACATTGTTTATATGACATTTTTTTATGATGATTTTTAAACGATTTCTTCAAGCGTCTCTAACCTTTGGTTCTATTTCTTTGCAGATTTGGTGCACTGCACAAATGAGCCGAATGTCTCGATACCTCACTTGGCCAACTTACTTATCGAGCGTTCACAGAACGCCAATTGGGTGGTAGTCTACAAGTCGCTGATAACCACACATCATCTGATGGCATATGGCAATGAGGTTTGTATCTCGTCTTATCAGTACTCAAAGAGGGGGGCGTATTATATACATGGATATAGCCTTCCATTAGCAGGAGATTTAAACCCGACTATCGTGCATGAATGGCAGCTGCTTGTGTCGAATGTTGCTTTTCTCTATGGGTACATTTGTGAGTGAAACAATATCTTTCGATGAAAGTTCCCTAGTGGAAGAGAGTATCAATCATGTTGTACCTTTTTGCTTTAATTTCATTTATCATATTCCACTCGAGTCTTTCCACTCGAAATCATTGTGGGGCGCGCAATATTCTCTACACTTCAAAAGGTCATGTCTTTGGTCTTATGCCTTTTGTTGACTCTCTTTTTTTATTTCAACGATTGTTGCGTGCTCTCTTTCGTTCTCGGAGCTTATCTTTAATTGTTTTTCCTCTCTCTGTGGTTTTATTTCTTCATTCTTTTCGTTTGGGGTGTTTATTTGGCGACATAATTGCATGCTTCCTCCAACTGATGGGCAGCCATATGTATGTAGCGGAGGGAGGGTCCAGCTCAAGTGAGAGATTGCGCCACAAATGAAATTCGATTGCTGTAGGGCTTACACAAAAAAGTTGAAGATGCTTGATGGGCTGTACATATACAAATATGGGAATAAGAATGGAAGCACAATATTTATGTGACCGGAGGGCATGTCTTGTGCTCTAATGCAGAGAGAATTTGGAAGATGATATTTATAGAAATCTTTTCTATAAAAAAAAAAATTAAATAAAAATTCACATTTCCTTTCAGCTCGCAAGTTATGAAATTTGATATGCATTTTGACCATTTTTAACCGAATTCTTAATCTTTAACCATCATTCTCTCTCTCTTTTTTTGTATCTTTACAGCGTTTCATGCAATATTTAGCATCAAGCAACTCTACATTCAATCTTAGCTCCTTTTTGGACAAAGGAACTGTGCAAGGTATAAAGATATTGCCCTTAACTAATGCTCAAAAACTCCCACTAACCATTTCCATATTCATTTTCATTGATGTTCAATCAATGAATTCATTTAAAATTATAAAATAAAGCTTACATTCTGTATTCCTCTCTCTCTCTCCTTATCTCATGCTGCGCGAACGTTTGGCTTTTACTCATTTGTATTATTTTTACATCAATTTAACAAAATTAATTAATAAATTAATAATAAACAACAAATACCGACGCTTACTTACAAAAACAAAAATGCAACATTCATAAACAACAACAACAAACATTTGCTGGCTAACAACTCAAATCGAAATACTACAAAAATATCAAAACTAAATATTCCAAAGCAGATGGTGGCATGGGCGTTCCAGGTGGCAGAATGGGTGAGTACATTGCAACTAGCTCTGCTATGTGGGAAAATTGGCTCTCAAATACTCTCCTTAGTTTTTGACTTATCTTGATTTATCTTTTTTCCTGGTTGTGTGACTAATTTTCGTTTTTAGCTAAAAAGAAAATCAAAATTTACTAAAAAACATATTAATTCTTGTTTTGGCATTGTTTAATACCTGTGTTTGTTTATCACTTATTTTTCGATAAGAACTGTATTTAAAATTAATTCATATTCAACAGGTTACGATATGTCCCCATTCATACGACGCTATGCCAAGTATTTGAATGAGAAGTCGCTCTCCTACCGAGCCATGGCCTTTGACTTTTGTAAAGTCAAACGAGGGTAACTACTAGTATAACATATAATATAATGCATATCGTATGACTAATTGATTTTTGTTTATAGCAAAGAGGAGGGCTCGTTGCGCAGCATGAACGCAGAAAAACTCTTGAAGACTTTGCCAGTTTTGCAGGCACAATTGGATGGACTTTTAGAGTTTGATTGCCAGTCCAATGATTTGTCCAATGGTAAGAGAATCCCATCCATATAAAGGATTTATTTTAATATTTAAATGTGTGTTTTTTCTAGGCGTAATTAACATGAGTTTCATGCTCTTATTTCGCGATCTCATCCGTCTGTTTGCTTGCTATAACGATGGCATCATCAATTTACTGGAGAAATACTTTGATATGAATAAAAAGCTGGCACGCGATGCATTGGATCTCTATAAGAAGTTTTTGGTTCGCATGGATCGTGTAGGGGAATTCTTAAAGGTGGCAGAGGTGCGTACAGTCATTCCTCAGAGATGGAGTATAGATTAAGATTCATTAAATGTTTGTTTTATTTGCTTTACAGAATGTCGGTATTGATAAGGGTGATATACCCGATTTGACCAAGGCCCCAAGCTCTCTTTTGGATGCCTTGGAGCAGCATTTGGCCACACTGGAGGGTCGTAAAGTATCTGCTGCCAATACGCCCACACAGTCTTCAAGGTGTGTTCTGCATTTTGTGGAGTATTTACTGTTTTTTGTGCTTAATTTGCATTTTTAACATTGAATTATTATGTTATTTTAAGTTGGATATTCTGTAATATTTTTTTCATTTACTTTGATTTCTTTTCCTTTGGTTTCATGTTTTGGTTTCGATTTCGATGATCAGTAGCCATCAACGCAATGTAAAATCCGCTGTATCTGCACTTTCTTCTACCAGCTCGGCTTTTGGCACTGCGGCCGCTTCCAGTAAATTCGATGCCACCAATGGGATTGATGAGCAGCTCAAGGCACAGGTTCTGGCCGAAGAAGAGGCCGCCATGAATCAGTACAAAGTGAGTTCTATAATATTATCGGAATAAATGAGTAAAGATTAATATATTTGATTGTTTATCTCTTTACTAAGTCGAAGGTATCGTCGCCCACTAGTAGCGGTGCTGCTGGCTCTAGCGCTGCACTAACAAATCCATTTCTATCGTCACCGCCAGCCTCATCGGCTGGTCAGCCGATAGTTGATCTGTTTGGTGCCGCGTCGGCACAGCCCGCTGCTGCTGGAGCAGCGTCCCACCACCACCAGGCGCCACAGGCCACCACCAAGGCCTCTGACGATTTATTGCAGTTGGGAAATCCCTTTGCCGACATGTTTGAAGCCAGTGCCAATGCTGGCGGCTCTAATGCTGCAGGAGGTGCCACAGGTGCTACACTCAATGCCAATAATTTGTGGATGCATAATAATGGTAGCATGTTATAATTTTCTCTTATTATTTCCTAAGTGTTTACTAGAGTTTAATTTTAATTTACAACGCTGTATGTACATGTACGAATCAGTGTGTAAGTGTTGTATGTATTTCTGTTGTATCTGTATCCTCCGTAAATGGTTCAGAGCTAAGAGGAGAGCGCACACTTTTCCTAGTGGCGCGTCTTAGACGCCCGCCGCCCCCTCTATCTGTATATTGCACCAAAGACTTTCATGCACCATTTACTCTCTCTCTCCCTCATATATTTAGTAATCATTTTCGTATTGAATCGTATAAGTTTTCTTGATATCGATTAGTTTTGCTTATATTTTTGATTTCTTATGAATTTCTGTCTAATGTATTGTTACTTCTTTATTTTTTTCCATCACTATTTCTTTTCCAAAAAACAACCCCGAATACAAACAACGACAACGAATACCGATTACCGATAATGAATGCAAACCTTCGATACAAACTCGATAACGAACCAAAAAAATATACAAAAATATCGCAATGTACAATCGCCAACAAAAACAAAAAAAAAACACTTACAAAAACCAATACGAAAAACAAATATGAGAAAACAAAGGTTTTAATGGCGCTTCAGTCTCTTCCGCTGCTGCAACAAATGCATTCGTTTCCGATAGTAATTTCTCATCCGTTTTTGGTAACACGGAACCCACAGGTAAGTCCTTCAATAGCCATCCAAAATACTCATACATTCCATTAACTCAAACTGCAACCACCGCTCTTCTATAATATTTATTATACAAATATACGCTTTAAATTGACTAATTTTTGAGTGTGTTCGTCTACAATACTACTAAACGAAATGAGGCTATCTATCATTACGCTAAAAGTTAACTGATAATGGGTTTTAATATTGGTGTATGTTATAAAGCGAAATTAACAAAATGTTAGCATGATGTTCATGTTATATTTAAAGCGATTTTTTGGGTTTGAAAAGCAATTTCCACGCAAAAGCTAGGCTTTATTTCTGTTAAGTATTCCCAAAGCTAGTTTTCAGATTTTCCATTTAATTTTCAACCCCAAATGTTAGTTTAAAACTTAACATTAATTTATATATTTTTGTATGTATATATTTCTGTTTTATTTATGTTGTATATTTATTTTAAATTGTTATCCTGTAAAATGTCTGTGTGTTGGACTAAATTCAGCATCGATGCCGTTGCCCCCTAATCCATTTTTCGATGACGCAGTCGCTGTTGCACCTGTTGCTCCAACACCCTTTGGCAGCAATACAATTTTTATGGATCAGCAGCAACAGCATCAGCAGCAGCAAGCAATGTTCTACATGCAGCAGCAGCAGCAGCAGCAACAGCAGCAGCAACAATTGCAACTTCAACATCGACAGCAGCTACAGCAACAGCAAGAATTTCCACCAGGTGAAACCTTTGTCCTCCCGCCACAAAAAACGAAAGCCATCTGTCTTTATCCCACCATTCGCCAGGCTTTTCTTGTCTGTACAAAGCTTTTCCACCTGCCAATCTTGCTTGTAGTGCTGCCGTCGCCGCACACACAGAGAGCACTGTCTCAGGCCTTCAAGCTCTGCCTTGTACAGTAGACACTCATTGACATCAACAAAAGAACACGCTTTCCCCTCCCCCTCTGTTGTTGTCGTCGTCTGCTCGCCTCGTGTTTTGTGAGTAGTTTTTTTTTATTGTCCTGCCATTGAATTTTTGAACATACTCTGTTGCGCTGTCAAATATAAGATCCTCTGTTGGGATTGGATCCAACTGGCATCTATTCTTCGTTGTTGTTTGAACATTTTTTTTAGGATTTGTATAGTATTAATTTGTATTCAATGTTGCTTTTACTTAAAAGAATTAAATATTTTGTTGATGTATTAATTTAATAATTTGTTTAAATTAAATTAATGTTTTGTGTACAAGAAATTTGCTTATAAAGAAAGATGTTTTTAAATATTTTGGGTAAAAAAGTCTCTTTTTAAGAGATATGCGATTTTAAGAGATTCCAAAGACTTTATTTTTATAGTTTTTGTTAAAATATATATTCAAATTGAACATCTTCAACGCTTAACAATCCTGCAACATTAAAAATTTTGTGTTTTGCCTGCTTTTTGTATGTAATTTAAGCCATAAATCATGTGATATTTATCTTAATCTATGGTTGATGGCATAACTAATCCCAAACCGCAAACCATTATTTAGGACTAACCAAAACCAAATAGTGATATATATTTTCTATATAAAAATGCAAAAAGAATTCATGTTATTTATTTTGTAAATGTTATTTTTTCTCTTTTTCTCTCTTTTTTATGTTTTTATGTACTTAAAAAACCAAAAAAAAAAAAACAAAAAACTCACATTGTCTCATGTTAATGTTGGTGGCACAAAAATCCATATACGAACATTTTCTAATTTACAAAAATATCTTATAATACGCTAAAACATATATGTGTGTTTATGCTGGCAAAAATCGAATCAAATGAACTCAAATGAACATAAAACGGGAAAACAAACTTCGACAATAACTCGACAAAACATCATCAACAAAAAATACTACTCCTGGGCTTCCATCCATCGGCTTCCATTGTCTATATCTACTATGCATATTATATCAAATATCTTTACAATGTGTTTGTCTCTGTGTATAAATGTCCGTAATATAAACAAAATCTCGGTGCATTGGTTATCAACAACAACAACAACAACAAAAAACATCAACCATCGTGTGAATTGTGTGTACAAAACTGAAAAGGTTTCGATGCTTTGGGCGATGTACTGAAGCCAGCTTCAGCCAGCAATCAAATGAACGTTGTCGCCACCACAGGTGTCTATCCTACCGGCAACAGCAGCGGAAACAGCACCTCGATCCTTGCACTCCAGCAGCAGCAATATCTCTTGGGGCAGCAGCAGCATCAGCAGCAAATGCCATTGCAACACCAGCAACTTCAGCAGTTACAACATCAGCAGATGCAGCAGCAACAGCCACAGCCAGCTGGCACTGGGAAGATAATTACCGGCGATTTGGATAGTTCACTAATGTCACTAGTTGATAACTTAAATATAAATAAAACGGCAAGTGCAAAGTGAGTAAAACATCGAGAAAAAACAAAAACAAAAACAAAATACGATCTATACTACATACTCGTTTGTGCGTGCGTTCGAAAGTGAAACCAAAACAGACATAAACATAATCTCATTTTCCGCCCGAACTCCCCTATCTACCATTTGGAGCTGTACAAGTTTCTACCTTGATCCAACACACCCAACAACCATTGCCCCCCACCCCCAAACCATTCGTTATTCATGTTCCATTATGTGTACATAAAATATCCATCCATATTCCAAAACCAAAAAAATTCCAAATAGTTCGAAATCACGCAGAGACAAAATTTGTTTAGAAGAATGTGTATAGAGAAATACAATTGAAATGCCGTGTTCATATCCATTACTCTCTTACCCCATTATTCTCATAGACCTGTGCAATGGAATTCACCTAAAAATACAGCGAAACCAGGTGCTAATTGGACACCACAACCAATGGCGGCTACAACTGGTGCTGGCTATCGTCCAATGGTGAGTTATGCCACTCTAACTCTCTAAAAACTCTACTCTCTACTGTCCGAACTCTACTCTAATTAAAAAAAACAACTACTAAATACTACTCGTACTCGTACTACTACTCGAAAGCAAGAGAGATCCCAAAACTAGATACGATAATACTCCACTTTTGCCTGGAATCTGAAATCTAAATCGAACTTAATCGAAAGACTAAAATAATTCGTATATACACTCGACAGTTTGTGCCGAAAATCAAATTCATAATTTAAAAAAGAAATGCCAGAAAAATACAAGAAACGATACAACAAAACACATGAAAATTTGTTTTGTAAAGGTATAGAATAAAAAAAAAAACACATCTTTTTGTAAATTTTGTCGTCTTTATTTGTGAAATAATTTCGTCTCACCCTCAACACTTTGGGCATTCCCCTTCATGTGCCAATACCAATACCAATATTATTTCTAAGTTTATATAATTTTCCTTTTATTTTCTGAAAAAATGCACCATGCAATATGCGATATTACAGCCTCAGCTACTTGGTTCTCTTTGATTTCCTTGTGTATGGTCTTGAAAGTTTTCTAATAATATTAATAATAATAATGTTCCCTGGCTTGTTTGCAAAATCCTATTTCAAAATCTAAATGTTGTAATATCAAAGTACCGAAAAAGTACCAAAACCAAGTTGTTGCGGCAGTTGTAAGTGTTTATACTTTTACTTAAAATCTTGGCTAAGGGTTTTCCAAGGTTTATTCCATACACCCTCCCACCATATAATACAGCACCAGAACACAAAGCACTAGGGCCCTCTATAACTTATAACTTTTGTGGCACATCCCCGGTAAAACGTAGGTCGATGAGTACCCAAAAAAAACCAGACACAACATAACAGGCTACAAAGAAAACCACATACTTTCTGTGATTTTTTATTTCCTTTTATTATTTTACACTTTTTTCTTTTGCATTTATATATATATGTATATGTATCCTTAAAATATGAACTATCACTTACTTTCTTTTCTTTATTTTATGTTTGCTTTATATATTCTCAACTATCCCAAACGCATACCGCAAAAAATCGAAAAATCAAATCTAAAAAACGAACTAAATATATATTGAAACCCAACAAACAACAAATCTCACGCTGCGCCTGTGTGTGTATCAATATATATTCTATCAATCAATCAATCAATATCAATATAGGCACATGGCATGACCGTAAGTCCTGCGCCAATCACAATCAATCATCCGTATATACATGCTAGTTATCCTGTAATGCCAAATTATATGCAGGTAAGATGATGAAACCAAAAAAGCACCCCCAACGAAATCAACATACTATAAAGAACCCCACAAAAACCAAAAACAAATAATGATTACAAAAAAATATATATAGTAAATATATATCATTTTGATTTCGACCTGAGTTGCCGTTTTATCGTTTTTTAGTTCTTTGATCATTTTTATTTATTATTTCGTTAACCAACCTTTTAGTTTCCCATTCGTGACTATCAATCGAATAACTAACATCTTCAGCACTACTACTGTAAAACCTATAAAGCGATCTATACGCCAGCTGACTCTCCTCCTATCTCTTGAAGCAAAAACCATCTGTTCTATCCTCTGAAAGCCACAAGCGTGTGTTCTGTCTATCTATCCTTTTCTCCTGATTCTGGTCCATAAAAGTGTTGCACTTTCTTTAATGATTAAGTTATTGTTTTTTATTTTCCTGTAGAACTATTCAGTTTTAAAACCGAGTTACTGTAGAATCTCCACTAACTTTCGTATGTAGACCACTGTTTTTCCCCACCAGCTCACGGCGGCCTAAAAGTCTACTAAATATGAGAGATAATCTCTACCCTCTACCACTGATATATATTTTTATATACTTTGTAGCCGTTGGCGTCTGTCCTAGCAGTTTAAGAAGTATATGAATCTCTCTCCCTACCAGTGCATGCAGTTTTTTTGTTTCGATTATCACTATGTTCCAATTTACTAACTACTAGTTTTGAATGATTCTTGTAGGGGATGCCGGTGATGGGGCAAGCCCCTTTGACTGGGGTGCCACCGACGATGATGTCGGCGCCGCAAAGTAATTCCTCAATGGCAGCTGCCGGAGCGACGGGAGGCATCATGCAGCCAATGCAGCCGACGCAGAACGGGAGCGGCAATAAAAGCGTACCACTGGATCCATTTGGTGCGTTATAAAGGGGCACTCATCCAAGCCACACTCACACCCACACACACTTTAAGCGCTCTAACCTCATAGAAAGCAGACAAACACCCACACATATAATAAAATATTAGAAATGATATATATATATATATATACATATATATATACTGAAAAATTCAAAATGTTTAAACTATGCTACACAGAAAAGCTAAAGCAAAAACAAATGTTTATGGAAAATGGCACTAAAAGCTAAAAGAATGGAAAAGAAAAGATTATATTATAATGTTGAACGAAAAAAAAACAAAACAAAAAAAATGCTATATACATACAATATATACTAGTATATATATATATATATTTATATTATTACTATTTAAATGAAACAAAAAGAAAAAAATAAGTTTGACTATTTATATGTATACACCAATTTATATACTATGTATGCTAAAAAGAACGAATGAAAAACGAAACAATTTCCGTAAATAGCTTAAAAGAAAAAAAGGAAGCAAAGTAGTCTATGTGAAATATACCTACGAGAATTCTACGATAAGTCTAAGGAAAAAACCTGTAGTTGTGTCCTACGCCAATCACACGTTCAACTTTCTAAATTATGGAATACTAGTGGAAAACACTCTGTTAACTGTCGCAAAAAAAGAGAGGAGAAGCCAGCGCCCCGAACCCCAATTGCAATATTTTAATCCGTCTATACGCAAATTTATAGTTTTTTCTGTTATTTGTGGTTAAATATACTATATACGAGTATGTACTATGTTTTTTAAAACTGTTGTTAAGCAAATAATAATTTTGTAACTCAAATAATTGTAAATGCATTCCAAACTAGTTTCAATTTTGTCCAAATTTAATTTGCAAAAGTTAAAACATTTCTTATTGTTAAGTATTATTTAAAAAAGAAACTAAAGCAACGCTGAAGATTGATGCAGTAAGTGTGCTGAAAGAAACCGCGTCGTATATTTGAATATGTGTTATATACTCTAGAGCCATTTATTTAATTGCTTCGAAAACCGACAGCACATCAAGATACGTAGTTCATTTGAAGATTGTGTATATACAAAAAAGAAAAAAACAAACAGAAAGCATGAGGCGTGTGCGTAGGTTATTTCCTATTGTCCCACCCACACGCTGAACTATGTCTAAATAAAAACTTACATATAAATTATACAAAGTATTTTCTGTTATTTATTATTTATTTATTTTTGTTCTGCGTGTGGACCTGGTTGGAGTATGCCAAAATGACTTCCATTACAATTTTCATTATATCTATCCCACCACCTCCATTCAGTGTGTAATAGTTTTTCTGATGATTCCAAAGGTTTCTCCAACCTGCTTTCCTATCGTTACTATCGCGTTTTCGAAAGCTTGTGTGTTTGTGAAAGATACCTTCCTACCTTCAACCTTTTTCTTAGTGGATCAGTAAAGCTGAGATATGTATCTATCTTTACACGCGTGTACTTACCAAATGTATAAATACTGAACGTTTTGAGCTGAAAAGTAGGCTATATTTTTGCACAAGTCCACAGGCAATTCCCACTGCTCACAAAAGAACATACATAATACTAAATATTATGGAATATCGAAATATTATCGAAATATGGAACCAATAGAAGTCATGTCACATTTTGGAAATCAGGAAGATTTCAAATCTATGGAATACCTTGTCAAATTTTCAGCCGACTGCGTCGTCATTGTAGCCATGTCGTTGGCGGGCTGTAGATATTTTTTATCGGAATTCTTATTTTTTTTATAAGTATCTACATAGTACGTCTATGTTGGCCAGGATATAGAAATATGGAATATTTATGGAGAAAAGTAGAGTGTGTGAGGTCTAGTATACAGCACCGAAAAATGCAATAAAATTTTAAAGCAAACAATCATATATGATATTTTGTCATTAAAGCTAACGCAAATGTAAAAGCAGTAAGGCCACTAAAAACCCCTTGAATCAATGTAAATTTAGCTAAATTATACACTTAAAACCAAACAAACAATTTAAAACCCATACAAAAGCCACTCAAAAAAAAAATGTTTCATGACAATATTTATACGCTGGTGTTTGAGCTAAAACTATACTCATACTTAGGATCTAACTAACTTACAAACTACAACAAAAATTCTATAGTACACCTGTACTCTGCGCCCAACAAAAATGATGTGAATACTGCGACCAATCGCATTCTTCGGCATGAGCAGAATAGAAAATTAAATACGCGAGAAGTTTCCAATAAAGTAAGCTTAGAAGTGTATCTCTATTCCATGCAATGGAGAAATAATCATATACCTATGAGCTCTTCATATTCCAATGAATGTTGTGTTTCTATTAGTTGATTAATATATCAAAAAATTTATACGCGCAACAAAGGTGATGTAAACCAGTGCAACCACCACTAGAAATGGCATGGATCTATAATATATTAATCATAAAGATATTACTTTGTCGTACATGAAGCATTAATGCATCTGTACTGGTACAACAAAAAGATGTGAATGCTGCGACCATATGTTGATCCTTAAAAATGGGAGATCAAGTGGAGCGATTATGAAATATAATACGCGAACAGTTTCCAAAAAAAAATAGCTTAGAAATGTATCTTTAGAGAATGCTTGATGCACTATCTCTACCTATGAGCTCTACATATTTCAATCAAATTGTTGTGTTTCTATTAGTTGAGGCTGTTTCCCTACGAAAGAACCCCATTGATACATTTGCAAACACCAAGAATTATAAAATATTTTAACACGATGAAGTCTTCAAAATTCTATTAAAATATATTCCCATTGAAATTGAAAACTATTTAAGTATGTACACGGATATGCACACACACATTCTCATCGGATAAACATAGATATAAAATATATATATTGTGTATTGTATAAAATTTATGTTGAAAACAAAACCAACCTTAAAACAAAACAAAAATGAAATGTTAGTGCAAAATAAATGTGTAAAATATAAGATCTCAGTAGTTTTCATTAATTACTTCAAGCATTTCGCTACAATAAAGTGAATGTTCGTCGTGAAATCACCGGCTCTTTCGATTATTTTTGTGTGTTGTTGAGATACAGATAGGTTTGCGATGCCTTGCACTTTGCGCCAGCGGGGACTGTCCTATCGGCCACGTCGTGAAAAGGAGAAGGATGTGCTGGCCCCCAAGCCAGTGCATCCGCGTGCCTTGCGCTTCCATGGATTCTTTGGCATGTCCTATGTCCGCCAGCATGTGATGGTCGATGATCGCTGGACACCCAATTCACTGACAGAGCAGTTCAAGGGAATGACCGACCTGTTGGGTAAGTGCCCTCCATCACGATCCACTGATATATATATCCCCTACATCCTTGGTTGCCCTTTAGCACGCCGCTTGGTCTTCAAGAGTCATGAATCTAAGGCCAATCGTTTGCGCTACTTCCGCGAGAATAAACGCCTTAAGCGGCAATGTCGCGATGGCCGCACAAAGTTGCAGAATATTCTGACCAATGATAACACCCATAAGATACGGAATTTCCTGATCAACCACAAGGACATGCAGCGGTTGTACCAGAAGATGCCCATCCATCTGGTGGTGGACAACATCAATCAGCGGACCTTTGTGATGCGCAAGGAGCGAGATCGTCTGGAGTTTCGTTTGGATCAACTGAAGAAGCATTACAGGGATCTGCTGGTACTTAATCATAATTTTAAACATCCTAAAACACCACTAAACAAATCCCTTAGCTTCGACGCGCTGTGTTGGAAAATCGCATCAAGTACCAAAATGAATTTGTATTAGACGAAGAGCTCAAGTCTCGGGTTTTCCTCAAGAAAATCGAGAACTCTAATGTGCGTATCAAGGCCATTAAGACTATTAACAATACCTACAAGAAAATGATTCAAGTCCTAGTACATGATGAGATCTTTTATGAGCCCATTTTGCGCTCCCTGAGCGGTGACATGGAAGATCAGTCCAATTTTATAAAGCACATACTGTATCTTGGAATGCCGGCTATTTCAAAGTTCAAGGAACTCAACGACGAGTATAGACACATGGAGGATAAGTCACGCAAGAATCTGCAAATGAAGCTACAGATGTTGGCATCGCTGAAGAAGCCGCCAGTGACGGGGTCAGTGGTGCACACGAAGGTCAAGGAGGAGGCACCGCTCACCGCCAATTTGAAACGTTATGTGCGAGAGACACAGAGCATGATGGTACTCAAATTGGAGCTCAAATCGATTGAGAAGACCATCAAAGAGGTCAAGTTTGTGACTCTGTGCTCTCAGGCCAAGGAGATATATCCAAGGTAAAGAATTTAATGGAAGTTCCCTCTGAGAAATATAGTTTAACATTACCCACCTTTGCAGAATGAAGAGCCAAGTGGACAACAATGAAAAGCTGCATCGCATGATTGTCAACGATATGCTGGCCCACGAAATGCTGGAAACCAAAATGAAATGTGCCAGCGTCCTAAAGGGTGTGCTCGTCAATAATCTTTCTGAAGAAGAAATCAAGTATGTGGTTTGAAAGTGCAGTAAGATTATTCTATAATCATTTCCATATTTATAGTCGCCTGGAGCGCATCAAGGACTTGAAGGAAATGATCCGCAAAGCAGAGGAATTCGAGCAGGATATACTGCAGCATCTCAAGAATCGCGCAGATGCGTATGTCATGCTGAGGTAAGTTAGCAACAAAGTTAATGGGATAACACTTATGTATAGAGTGCTGATATATTAGATTGACAATTTGGAATCTTGTGGAAATACTGCGTCATGTGGATCGTCAGCCCAAATTGCTGCGTGCACAGTACCCAAATTCCTACTTGAAGTTGCCGCTGCTTAAATTTGAAATGCTCAACATGAGGGCCGCGGCACCAGAACTCTACGAGGCGAACAGTTGAGTGAAATTCCACTTTATAATCTTATAATATAATCATATTCAAATGATTTTTTTAGTTGACAACATCATGCACATTGTGAAGCGTAAGGTCTATAAATTGATGAAGGGCTACACTGTGGAGCTTCGTCCTGCCACCATTAAGCGTAATGTTGAGGAATATCATGCCGATTACCTTGCGAGTCTTGATATGTTTGAGCCCATTGATAATGATGAGCAGCAGCAGGCCGTGCCCGAGGAGGATCTCCTGCAGGAGAACAAAACGATGGCCAATGTACCCAATCGCAAACAGATCAAGGCCCAAAGTGCCAAGCTTGTGGAGGAATTATCCAAACGTGATGAATAGAATTAGTTTTTGTTTTTATTTTATTTTTTAGAAAGATATAAATTTTGAGTAGTACCCAAAGCAGTTGCTCCAAATTTTGTTAGGTGAATGAAAGTGCCTCCAAAATTAAAATATTTCTGTGTCCTGACGAAAAAATGCAAATCCATTTCTCATAATTGTTGTCTTCATTTTGGCCATAATAAATAGCAGCGCACCAAAACCAAACCAAAAAAATGAATAAATCGTGAGCCGAACAATGGAAGCGCCTTCATATAATTGATCTGAAATTGCTGCAAACGTTTGCTTCACCTGGGGATCTCTTGGGTCGTTTCGGCTCGGATTGCTTCAACTTTTGCCTTTTGACGACGACGACGTCGACGACGCCCTGCAGTTTCGGTAGCTCTTGTTTGGCTGTTGCCAACCATAGAAATAATGGCTAGGAAGAATTATTGTTCCATTGCCACATCACATAATTGGTGGGGAGGCTGGAGTTTTCTCTCTCTCTCTCTCTCACTCTTGAGTTGGCTTTTCTCGGTTTGATTTGTGTGTTTGCTGTTGCCCAAAAGTGTGATGATGGGACTGAGATAAATTTGTGGGGTGTTTTTGGAGTCTAACCTTCTATCAATTATTCCGCATTCGAATGCATCAATAGGCCATTAATCATTTCCTGGCCACTCCACAGCCAAAGCCAAAGCCACTTCCTCTCTGCGCTCGATCATCCATTCATACCTGCACTCAAAAAGGTCAATCGTTGTCATAAAAAAGTTACAACTTTATTCGACTGACGATGGGATGTAAAATCATCACTGCCTCCAAAAATGGAAGTTTTGACTGAAAATGGGTTTCATTTTCTGTCACAGCAGAGAAGTGCTCACACGTTTTCAGTTCAATATTTTATAAATATATGTATGTACATATATATGTATGTATACGTATGTACATTTACCTGTTCCCCTACCTGTCTTCCTATCTATCTCTATGGTTATATCTGCGTACACGATATCACGCCGCCGCAGCCGCCGAAAAACCTGGGCACGGGAGCACGCGAGCGCGAGCCTCCATAAGCCACTCACAAATGAGGGTTATGCAAGCCTTACATTACACTCGTGCCTCCCCACCATGTTTATTCATATCCCCACACTCGCATTCACTCGAACATATTCATGTGGTCTCATGCCGCCCCCTCCTTGGTAGACAAATTAGCCACTGGAAGTGTTTGGGTGATGATATTTTCGGGGGTCTGCCCCTAAAAGTTAATTTTGTGGTCAACTTTCAACACTTTGCGAATGAAAGGCACATAGTACATGTCTTACAAATGTTTTGATTCATTATTGTGGCTGATTTGTTGTGCAAATAAAATGAAGAATATGAAATGGTTTAATTTAATTTTTAAATAAGGCTTCGGAGATGTTTTCGTGGCATTCTTTAAATGTATTGCATAAATTATTCCCTTTCCTGTATAATTCGATTAAAAATACATCCATCAACTGATTATAAATAATAACATGATCACGGAAGCATGGTAAATCAATTAATCCAATTTACCAATGAACTTAATTATTGTTGCGAAATGAAGATGATTTTTTGTATGAGGGTTGCAGTTGCTGTTTTTGTAGCTGCTTAGCAAATATTTCTGTTAATTATCAAAAATATTGTCTGTTGGAAAGTCAGGGGCGTCTCTTCTTACAGGAGCCAAAACGAATGCCATGCCTCATTTGGTCATCGTTAATCTTCATAACTGAAACGAATGCAATTGCCATTGCAGCTTTTAACTGTCTGTCGAGTAGTCAAAACCCATTTAACCCGTCAGTTTGCACTCTTGCCCTGAAAAATAACGATGAAGCTGGAGCTGGAGCTGCTGCTTCGGCAGTTCCTGTAGTCATCGCTCGAACGGTTGCAAGTTGCAACATTTCAAGAAGCCACAGCCCACCAGCAGCAGCAGCAGCCACAAACGTTCGCTTAATAATTATGAACCTTCTTGGGCTGTTGGCGGCAGTTTATGTTTGAAATAATTCGTGGAGTAGCCCCGGCATCCATCCAGTATCCCAACATCCCGCATCCACCATCCAGCACTCCGATCCAAGAGTCGTGGCAACAACAATTGGTAGTCAGTCAAGTTAACGCGGTCTGCGAAACTAGCCAATTTCTGTTAGCCGTTTTCTGCTGGCCCGAGTCGTGGCCAAAGGTTTTTCTTTTGTACAATTTGTAAAACGAAGACGAACTACAGGGAGAAGCAGGAAGGAAGGTTGTATCATGGCTTTAACGATATTTGAATGCTCTAACCACAAAGCGTAAATTGTATTTTTAATTCTTAAGAGAATATTGCAGATATTCCTTTAACTCTTAATTTTACATTAATTAAGCTTTTAATTTGTTGTTCGAAGAGTTCCCTTTTGGAAGGGTATTTAATTAAGGATTTACTGGCCATTGCATGGAGCACCCCCAGGAAATTATCTTGTCAATGGCTATGGCTGGGCTTCAATTGCAGTCCAGCTATGGCCTGGGCTTTTGGGTCTCTCCCGGGCCTGACTCTCTGACTTCAAACTCTGCCTGGAATGGACAGTATCACGGACATGGGACTGGCAGTAGTTCCCTTTTTTCCATCGTTTTTTAAGGTGTGTTCCTGCAAAGCGCATGATCTCAGCCATATTTCTTCTTCATTTGCTGGGATAATTTACATATGGTTATATAAGCAGAGAGCCGCAGCAGGAGAAGCAGCAGCACATGCTCGTACGAGTACCCATTGCAAAATTTCAACATGTTTTATTTAATTGCCAACGGAAAAACGACAAAGAGAAAGAGACCCCTCAAATTGAGTACACATGTAAGAGTTAACATCCGAACCAGCGAACCATCCATCCCATCCCATCCCGTCCATCGATCTCCATGCAATTGGTAATTTCTTTTAGGGCCGATCGTTTTGTCTTCGGTCAATGGGTGCGTAGACAATTTCCTAACATGTTGCCCCAATGGGGGGCCAGCGTTTGCTCCAACAATCATTAAATAAAGCTCCACCAATTGTCAATGCTTCTACAGAAATTATACAATAAATAAATTGGTTTTGCTCCAGATAAATTTCTTCAAAATTAATTGGGGAAGCTGATACTGAATTCATGGCCAATTTAGGCTATTGTATCACTACTCTTTCACACCCATTTCTCTGGCCCAGAGCACGGCTTCAGAACAAAAGTTTTATAAATAAATCTGTGTCACTGGCAAAAGCCACAACACAATAGACACCACAAGACGTTAAATTAATACACCTTAAATCATTCAAGATTATGCAATTTATAAGAGTAAATGAAAATATCAAACACGCAAGCAAAAACGAAGCAAAAGAACAGCAACAAAAAAAAACACAAAAGACTTGAACAGAAAACTCGTTTTGGTTCTAAGTGTAGAACAAGTTTTTGGCGATTGGTAACTTTCCCACTGTTGATTGAAGACTTTTAGGACCAACTGCTGAGCTGCAAATTTACTTGGCATGCACACTGTAATAATGTCATCTTTCTACTTAAACTAGCCTCATAAATATTCAACCCAAAAGAAAATCATAGATAAGCAGAACTTCTCTTGCACTGAGAGTCGGCAAAATGTTTCGTGTTGCGGTGCCATTAAGTCTGGGGCTTTGCGGTTTTGAAATCACTCTCTATAAATATGGATTTCTCAAGAGCTCTACGCTGTGAAAGAGTGTCAGCATAATAACAGATTATTTTAATTAATTTCTAAACAAGACAAAAGCCCACAACGCCCACATGCCAATGGCAAAACAAATACCTAAAACAAAACAAGACGTATCTTTGCTTTGTGTTAGGAATATTGTAATTATGCAATTGTTTGCCTAGTTCTAAGTTCTGTGCCAGCTGCTGCTGGCCTATGCAAATGTTCCTTATGCTTATCTCTATATAATTATACAAGAACCAGCTGCAGTTGCAGTTATCGGAGAACATGGCTCGACCTTAGACAACCACAGAGGCATGCCCATGCCCATGCCATGCCCCACCCTCTAGTTTCCCTTTAGGCCGTACTGCAATTGTTCAGTTAGCTAAACATTATACACTTCATTTCATTTGGTTTGCCTTTAGACACACCGCGTCGTCTCTCTCAATGCCTCAATTAAACCATCATGAGCATGCGCAACTACTGTTTTGTGGCTTTCTGTTTTTCTTTTGCTTTGGCATCTTGAAGATGCCTATCACAGACCTCCCCTCTAACACTTACACGTCGATCTAAAATTTTCGAGATCCAAGATAGCAGAATTTCGGGTGCCTTCAGCAGCATTGAGAAGCCATCAAGTCGTGAATCAGTTAAAAGTTCTCGCAAAATAATTGAAAGGTTCCTCCGTTCAAGTACTTGAAGCAATTACCAGCTCTGACAATGGCTTCATTTCAATGAAGAGGCCATGATATAAGGAAGTGTCTAGCTTAATGTCCGTGTGAATAATATTTTGGAGCAAAGATATAAAATACAAAACAAAGTATTTCAATATTTAAATAATTTATTATTACACCAGCTTTGTTGCTCGGTGTGTTCAAAGAATTGTACTATTTATTCGAGTGCCCAGAAGTGGCCTTCGCTCACTCTGGAATAAATCAAATAAAAGAGCTGGTGATTAGACATTCTTGGTTTGTAGTCTAACACTTAGTCTTCAGTTATCGACTGCGTAAATATCGTCTAAATAAATCTAAAAATGTTTTAAAGCTTCAAATTTGATAAGGGACTTCAAATTAATTACTCACCCAATACTCTGCTCGATGGCGAGTCCACTTGATTGGCAGAATCTTCTCGAATTTTCAAACGCTCTTCTACTTGTGGCACTTGCGTTTTTATTTCCGGATCGTAATACTGCTGTACCGGCTCTGGTGTATATGGATGCTCTGCCGCCTCTGTGGGCAGGTATTGCTGTGCCTTATCCTGTTCCTGCGTCTTATGGCGAATGAGGTACAGCTGAATCCAATGTCGAGCGCGTTGGCAGGGACGCATTGCTACCGTCGTCGGCTCCTGAAGCGAAATCTTCGAGCCGTTGCGGTTATGCGGCACACGTTTCCACTCGTTGCCATCGTCTAGCACAAGGAATATGCCCCAACCGATGAGCACGGCCACAAAGATGAGGACCAAGAAGAACAGAAAGTCCTGAATAAGCTCTTTCAAGTAATCGGCACTGCTTTGCCTATTGTTCTCTTGGGGAGTTTGCCGTTCGGCCTTCGATAGATCCATCAAGCAGTCGAAGTTTTACCTTGGCCAAACTGCAAGCAATTTTGATATTATATTAATTTAGTTTATCTCAATAAAACATTTTTATTTTTGTGTTTCACTCACTTTTGTATAATTTTGAAGTTTTCTAATTAGGACAAAACTATCGTTTTGGTTTCCTTTTTTCCGAAATTTTGAAAAAAAATTTAAGACCGAAAGACTGTTGACTGCTCGACAAATCAAATTGAATGACCGGAAATTTATGTCTCATTTGGCATATCAATTCGAAAATGGATTACTAAAATCTTGGCCTACTAAATATTTTTAGAACAATTGTTGTATGTGCTGCAGGGCTGCATTGATGTTGTTTTTCTCATGATGGGCTCTCAACTTTCTCAAATTCGATTGGGGAAATTGGTGTAATTGAAACTCTTTAACGGCACTTTGGTGCCCATCAACATGGCGTTGGATGTGATTGAATTATTGGACACTTAAATGGGCGGCAAAGTCGCAGGGGAGACTCGACTCTTTAGCGCATTTATCCATTTGCACCTAGGGGCTTCGACGACTCTCTCCACATTTCTTTCACGATGGAGAGGCTTCAACACATTTCTTCCCTTTGGAGGAGCCTCAACACATCTCTGGCCATACACATCACTCACTCAGTCAGTGCTAATGAAGATGTTTCCCTCGAGAGACAGAAACTGACTCTGACTCGGGCACTTGCACTGCCACTTCATTAGTCAGGAAGTGTTATACATGATGGAGGCGAAGCATGAGACTGTAATTTGATTAGGGGTCGGGTATACTTGTACGTTGTATATTATATAAATGAGGAATGATTACAGAAGTTAAGCAATGCAATTGTAGATTAATAAATTCGATTTCCTCCAATCTGTGGCTTACAGCAGCAATCAATTAAATGCCCGCCACCAACTGCTGCGTTATACAATCCCTGCCTGTAAATCCACTCTTTGTACTGATAAGACACTACTCTCTGTCTCTCTCTTTCTTTCTGATATTTGACTCCCCCTCAAGCCAAAGAAAGAAATACCTAAAGCTCAGGGCAAAATCCAACAATGGCAAAACGGCGGCGGCGTCGGAGACATTACATAACCAGCCACAATAACCTACAAAAGCAGTCCCAGACCCAGGCCCAGCCCCAGTCCGACCCCCCCGTGAAAACTAGTGAAAAATCAACGTAATACAGTTAACAGCTTCTAAGAGAAGAAAGAAACGAAAGACCGAGTGCTGTGTGTGTGGGAAATTACGGCAACGACAAATAAATTACAAGAAAACGCTTAAGGTCAAGCGATTTGTGCAGAAAATGAGGCATATAGAAAACATATTGTGGCGATCGTTGGCTTTTTGATAACCAAAGAAATGAATAGGCCCAAGCGAGTCAACCGGAGTCGACTGGAGTCGACTGTCGAGGAAACGTGGCTACCACACAATTGCTGCGGGGTCAAATGGCGTTGAGAGGTAACGAGTCGAGTTAAATCATCGACTTTAACTTGGGTGCCTCTGCCACATGCCTCTGGCTATGAGTCTCTGAGTCTGAGCCTGAGTCTGGGTCTAGCTGTAGCTCCAAATCTAGTTGTGGTTGTGTGTGTGTGTGTATGGGCTCTCGTTTTGGCTCCAAATCTAGTTGTGGCTTTTGGCTCTGCAGCCAGAATTGATTGCCACTTGAGAAGGCCATTTCGGTGTCTTCGTACATATAAATCAAAAGAATCTTTTTTCAAATTGCAGTCTACGGTTCGACTCTTCTCTGCTATGATTTAGGTGCCACGGATGGGCCCGTAGACGGTTTTTTGGGTCTGACATTAGAGATCCACGGCTCTCTGGGGGATGTTGGGAGTGCCAATGCCCTCGACAAGGTGTCAATTTGGCGTGCGAGGCATTTTACAATGATTTTCGGTAGTTGGCCATCAATTAAATTCACATCAGCCAGTCGACTGTTATGAAAGAATCCTATTAACTTTTGATTGACTGTGAAGATTTCTGAGTAAAATCAAATGAAAAAGAACTATGAAAAAGTGCTGAGACATGGCTAACAATTGGAGATATTCACGAATATCAATTGGTCGTGATCTGTGAATGTATACCATTTCGGGGATTTCCATTTGTCCCGTCCCTTTTCCTAGGGACGTTTCATAGCCCCGCAAAAATGTACTCTCATCTACCGACTAGTTTTGGTTTTAAAGAGTGTCGTGTCTTCATGTCTTCATTTCACCCACCGTCGACGCCACCACAAGATTGTGTAAAAATTTTATTTTTGCATAATTGAAAAAGTTTAACAACTTTAAGCAAACAAATTTTATGTTAACTGTTGAGCATTTTGTAATTTTGCTCGCGTGCACATTTCTTTTGCCCGTGCGCCTCTGACCCTTTCCATTCCATTCCATAACAAAAGCAAAGCAAAGCTAAGGTAAGAAAAATCCCAACATTACAACGTGATTTCCGGAAGTTGAAGCGCAACAAAAGGCGCCTGCGCGCCTGCTCAAATGTCGTCGTCGCTGCTGTCGAATTGATTGCGGGTCGGAGTGGTTGGCAGTAGTGCAGGAGGGGGCGGTTGTTGCCTCTGCCTCTGCAGAAGAAGCTAAGGAAAGTCGTGCGACAACAGCTGCTACCAACGGCAGCCATCCTGCTTGCCTTTCGTGCGAATAATGTCATTTGTGTTTGTTTTATAACCAAGTTTACAACAACTTGCCACAACATAAACTACCACACAAAATAAAACAAAAAACAAAACATGCACTCAACATAATTGCATCCAATCCAAGTCAATGTTGTCAATGAGGACGAAGACTCCTTCCAGAACTGCCAGTACTATACCCTTTTAAGGAGCAATAGTCAAAACCCCCTAGGCGAATCCAATGACAGCTGGCGGCAGCCTTCAACGGCAGACAAAGAGACCCCACACAGACGTCAGGGAAATTAGCTGACAGGAAAAGCAAGGCACAACAAATAGTTAAACCTTTTCTTTAAACAAACACCTGTCTGGCAGGTTAACACTGGCGGTTTTGCAATTCCCTTCAACAGATTGGCGTGATTTGAATTTTTGCAGTAGATGCTTCCTGAAAGAGTGAAAAAAACATTGCTGGTGAAATTCACTTTTAATACAACTCTCGCCTCGGCACTTTAACCGCACAAACCATCCAAGGAAAGTTCTCTTAAAAAACATCCATCAATCAATCTTAAGATTAATTCCACTTCTCCCACTCCTAGAATCTTCACCACAATATCTTTCTGAAAGAAGAACCTTTTCAATATTCTTTCTCTTTCAATAAGCTTTCGCAGAAGAACTTTTACCTCATCTTTAAGAATATAAGACAGTCAAAAACTATGCCCAGAAATTGTGTAATCTTTAAGATTCAAAAATACTATTGTGTCAGTTGCCTTTGCGCTCTTTATATTTATATCTCTTTGAAAAAGTTAATTCCATATTAATAGGTTTTCTTTGTTGCCTTCTTACATAATAATTATAGAAATAAAGCTGTCAGTGGCCACATAAATTAGTATTATAGAAAATAGAAAAGTTTCCTCTGCCAAATGGTGTTTTTCCCCTCGCCACAGCAGCATTCATCCACATCCACATATTTGACCATTCTTTTGGCTAATTTTATTCCATGTCTCGTTGGTTTTCATCTTTCAGGCTGTGTGGCGAAATTTCATCCCAGAGTCTAGTGTCTGGGGGCATCAAATTAATGTTCTAGCATAAATTTATAATTCATGGCTAAAAACACTTATATCACGTTGTGGTTCTACTTTGTAAAAAATGATGTCTACCACGAGTTGAGGTCGACTTAATGACCTTTTTGTGGCGTGTCTGAAGCTTCTGCTTATTAATTATATTATTGGCAGACGTTTTACAAATGCTTCACTGACGGTTGCCGTTGCCGCTAATTAAAGTTTAATATTTTATGCAACTCTTTGTCTAATTTTTATAAATTGTTCGGCAACCCGTTTTTGATCCTTTTGGCCATTACTTTTGCTACATTTGGAGGCCATTTCAATTATATTTATACCTTTTCAGAAGAGACGATACAAATAATTTGTGTGCATTTTCAGGTTTTGATATGTTTATAGCCAGCAATGCACGCACTTCTTTGGCTGCCAGCTGACCTTTCAATTAATCATGGCTAATATATATACATAAGTATGAGAGATTTTTCCAGTCTCCCCTGTGGTCTAACGGTAGCTTCTGCTGTCAAGACTTGTTTTTCATCTCTTGTTTATCTTAACATTTTCACACCAAAAGTCAGGTTTCTATTTGAATATTTAAGCGTTTATGTATGTTGAATGTTGAATGTTGAACCATGCTTGAAATGCAAATCGATTGTCTTGGCGAATGTATAAATTAAGTCTTTTACTATCTTGCTAAAAGTTCAGTCAACTTTAAAAGATAGTTTTCATTATGCAAACTCTACTCTAAATAAAAAGAACCAACTCATTCGATCGTGCTGTATGCCCTTCAGCTAACTGATTGTATAACACTTTTTGATGAATTGAAAATGCGGAATTCGGTAAGCTCTACCACCACCACCATTCAGCCATTCACAAAATTAGAGCAGAAAAATATTTGAAATATATTTTTTAAATTACAGAAATCGATTTGCAAACAATAGAAACTCGAAAGCATCGCAAGTAATGAAATCAATATTTGCAATGACATAAATAAAAAAAATCGGGAAACAATTTCTCTTGTCATCCCCGCAAAATGTTATCAATAGAGATCACTGGGTGAGTGGCACACACTCGCAACGCTAATTGTAAATTATGGGGTCTCGCAATGGGAATTGGAATTGCTACCGTGTTGGGGTCTGGTGGTCTACTGGTCTGCTGTCGAATGACATTTTGCCTCGATATAGAAAATTGCGTATTAATCGTCATCCCAGCATGAGGGCCACACAATGGATATTGCTGCAGCTTTCTTTCAACAAATCAAAGGCAAACAATTGGATTCCCTGCAGCCACAAATCAAATGCTCGTAATCGTAACAAAGAGCAATCGCTGGATCGCATTAGCCACAATTGTTTTGGGCCTTTATTTTTTGGGAGCGGTTGCAACAGCAGCGCCGGGCCGGGCCACACACACATGATGTTGATGATGCCCTGGGGCACCACCACTTCCGACAAGTCATCCAGATATGTATTTATCAGTTGATAATCAGAAACAGCTAATTGCAGTAGTCGTCTCTGCATTTGCACTTAACAAAGTGCA